GGCCCGGTGGCCTGGTGGATGGTGGCCCGGTGGCCTGGTGGCTGGTGGCCCGGTGGTCTGGTGGCTGGTGGCCCGGTGGTCTGGTGGCTGGTGGCCCGGTAGTCTGGTGGCTGGTGGCCCGGCGGCCTGGTGGATGGTGGCCCGGTGGCCTGGTGGATGGTGGCCCGGTGGCCTGGTGGCTGGTGGCCCGGTGGTCTGGTGGCTGGTGGCCCGGTGGTCTGGTGGCTGGTGGCCCGGTGGTCTGGTGGCTGGTGGCCCGGTGGTCTGGTGGCTGGTGGCCCGGTAGTCTGGTGGCTGGTGGCCCGGCGGCCTGGTGGCTGGTGGCCCGGTGGCTTGGTGGATGGTGGCCCGGTGGCCTGGTGGCTGGTGGCCCGGTGGTCTGGTGGCTGGTGGCCCGGTGGCCTGGTGGTTGGTGGCCCGGTGGCCTGGTGGCTGGTGGCCCGGTGGCCTGGTGGCTGGTGGCCCGGTGGCCTGGTGGCTGGTGGCCTGGTGGTTGGTGGCCCGGTGGCTGGTGACCCGGTGGCCTGGTGGTTGGTGGCCCGGTGGCCTGGTGGTTGGTGGCCTGGTGGCTAGTGGCCCGGTGGCCTGGTGGCTGGTGGCCCGGTGGCCTGGTGGTTGGTGGCCCTGTGGCCTGGTGGCTGGTGGCCCGGTGGCCTGGTGGTTGGTGGCCCGGTGGCCTGGTGGTTGGTGGCCTGGTGGCCTGGTGGCTGGTGGCCTGGTGGTTGGTGGCCCGGTGGCCTGGTGGCTGGTGGCCCGGTGGCCTGGTGGCTGGTGGCCCAGTGGCCTGGTGGTTGGTGGCCCGGTGGCCTGGTGGTTGGTGGCCTGGTGGTTGGTGGCCCGGTGGCCTGGTGGCTGGTGGCCCGGTGGCCTGGTGGCTGGTGGCCTGGTGGCTGGTGGCCCGGTGGCCTGATGGCCCGGTGGCCTGGTGGCTAAAGCTGCCGCTTCACACATGGAGGGCCCGGGTTCGATTCCCGGCGGGTAGAATCATTCCGACACGTTTCCTTACACCTGTTCTGTTCACCTAGCAGCAAATAGGTACCTGGGCAAATAGGTACCTGGATGTTAGTCGACTGGTGTAGGTCGCATCCTGGGGGACAAGATTGAGGACCACAATGGAAATAAGTTAGACAGTCCTCGATGACGCACTGACTTTCTTGGGATATCCTGGGTGGCTAACCCTCCCGGGTTAAAAATCCTAACGAAATCTTATCTTCTTTTATCTTAGGCTACTTTTCAAATATAGTAAACTTCACAAAGGTACTAAACTCTTTACTGTATGCTAGACTATTTTTTCAAAGTTAAAAGGCTACAAGGACACTAGTCTACATCACAAGGGCACTAAGCTACTTTACAAAGGTATTAGACTCTTTAAAAGATACTAGGCTCTTTACAGGAACACTAGACTCTTTAGAGGAATACTAGACAAGGCTACTTTTTACTTGTGCTAGGCTACGTTACAACGGAACTAGGCTAGCGTACAAGAGTAATAGGCTAATTTACAATGATACTAGTCTCTAGACAAGGATACTATGTTCTTTACAAAATACTAGGCTCCTTTACAAAGGTACTAGTTTCTTACAAGGACTGAAGGCTGTTTACAAGTATATTAGACTACAAGGTTAGTAGACCACTATATGTATAGTAGGCTACTTTAAGGTTAGACTACTAATAAGGGTGATGGGCTACTTTATATAAGGTAATAGGCTACTTTATAAATGGTAATTGGCTAGTTTTTATAATAGTCATTAAAGTAATAGGCTACTTTATAGAATAAACTACTTTAAAAGGATAATAACCGTCTTTGTAAAGGTATATAACTTTATAAGGTAACTTTACAAAGGTATTGAGATACTTTACATGCAAATACTTCAAAAATATATGAAATTACTGCAATTTTAAAACAAAGCAAGAGACTATATAATAATAATAATAATAATAATAATAATAATAATAATAATAATAATAATAATAATAATAATAATAATAATACATATGTATAAGCATTTTTAACTAATTGGTTACTTACATGGGTAATAGGCTGCTAAATGAAGGTAATAATTCGCCTTATATGGGTAATATTTTTGTTTGGTAATATACTCTGTGAGTGTTATTGTTTAGGTGTTTCACCTGTTAACTTGTTTATTAAACAAATAAAATTTGTTGTTGTTTATTAACTTGACCTGTTGGTTCACCTGGGGGTTATGGTCAACTGTTGTGATCCCAGTGTTAATGATTGTTGTGGCCCCTGTTGTTATAACTGTTGTGATCCCAGTGTTAATGATTGTTGTGGCCATTGTTGTTATAACTGTTGTGATCCCAGTGTTAATGATTGTTGTGGCCCCTGTTGTTATATAACTGTTGTGAACCCAGTGTTAATGATTGTTGTGGCCCCTGTTGTTATAACTGTTGTGATCCCAGTGTTAATGATTGTTGTGGCCCCTGTTGTTATAACTGTTGTGAACCCAGTGTTAATGATTGTTGTGGCCCCTGTTGTTATAACTGTTGTGAACCCAGTGTTAATGATTATTGTGACCCCTGTTGTTAGAACTGTTGTGAACCCAGTGTTAATGATTGTTGTGGCCCCTGTTGTTATAACTGTTGTGATCTCTGTGTTAATGATTGTTGTATCCCCTGTTGTTATAACTGTTGTGATCCCTGTGGTTATAACTGTTGTGATCCCTGTGGTTATAACTGTTGTGATCCCTGTGGTTATAACTGTTGTGATCCCAGTGTTAATGATTGTTGTGGCCCCTGTTGTTATAACTGTTGTGATCCCAGTGTTAATGATTGTTGTGGCCCCTGTTGTTATAAATGTTGTGATCCCTGTGGTTATAACTGTTGTGATCCCTGTGTTAATGATTGTTGTGGCCCCTGTTGTTATAACTGTTGTGATCCCTGTGGTTATAACTGTTGTGATCCCTGTGGTTATAACTGTTGTGATCCCTGTGGTTATAACTGTTGTGATCCCAGTGTTAATGATTGTTGTGGCCCCTGTTGTTATAACTGTTGTGATCCCTGTGGTTATAACTGTTGTGATCCCTGTGGTTATAACTGTTGTGATCCCTGTGGTTATAACTGTTGTGATCCCAGTGTTAATGATTGTTGTGGCCCCTGTGGTTATAACTGTTGTGATCCCAGTGTTAATGATTGTTGTGGCCCCTGTTGTTATAACTGTTGTGATCCCAGTGTTAATGATTGTTGTGGCCCCTGTTGTTATAACTGTTGTGATCCCAGTGTTAATGATTGTTGTGGCCCCTGTTGTTATAACTGTTGTGATCCCTGTGTTAATGATTGTTGAGGCCCCTGTTGTTATAATTGTTGTGATCCCTGTGTTTAACTGTTGTGGCCCTTGTGGTTATGACTGTTCTGGCCCCTGTGGTTATAACTGTTGTGATCCCTGTGGTTATAACTGTTGTGATCCCTGTGGTTATAACTGTTGTGATTCCTGTGGTTATAACTGTTGTGATCCCTGTGGTTATGACTGTTGTGACCCCTGTGGTTATGACTGTTGTGGCCCCTGTGGTTATAACTGTTGTGATTCCTGTGGTTATAACTGTTGTGATCCCTGTGGTTATGACTGTTGTGGCCCCTGTGGTTATGACAATTGTGGCCCCTGTGGTTATAACTGTTGTGACCCCTGTGGTTATGACTGTTGTGATCCCTGTGGTTATAACTGTTGTGACCCCTGTGGTTATGATTGTTGTGACCCCTGTGGTTATAACTGTTGTGATCCCTGTGGTTATGACTATTGTGTCCCCTGTGGTTATAACTGTTGTGACCCCTGTGGTTATGACTGTTGTGATCCCTGTGGTTATAACTGTTGTGACCCCTGTGGTTATGATTGTTGTGATCCCTGTGGTTATAACTGTTGTGACCCCTGTGGTTATGACTATTGTGACCCCTGTGGTTATAACTGTTGTGACCCCTGTGTTTATGACTGTTGTGATCCCTGTGGTTATAACTGTTGTGACCCCTGTGGTTATGATTGTTGTGACCCCTGTGGTTATAACTGTTGTGATCCCTGTGGTTATGACTGTTGTGATCCCTGTGGTTATAACTGTTGTGATCCCTGTGGTTATGACTGTTGTGATCCCTGTGGTTATAACTGTTGTGATCCCTGTGGTTATAACTGTTTGGACCCGGTGCTTATGACTTGTGATCCTACGTATTATGACTCTCGTGGTTATGACTTTTGTGATCGTTTGGTCATGACTGTTGTGATCCTGTGGTTATGACTGTTGTGATCCCTGTGGTTTTGACTGTTGTGGCTCTGTGGTTATGACTGTTGTGACCCCTGTGGTTATGACTGTTGTGGCCCTGTGGTTATGACTTGTGGCCCTGTGGTTATGACTGTTGTGACCCTGTGGTTATGACTTGTGACCCCTGTGGTTATGGCTGTTGTGACCCTATGGTTATGACTGTTGTGACCCTGTTGTTATGACTGTTGTAACCTCTGTGGTTATGACTGTTGTGACCCCTGTGGTTATGACTGTTATGACCCCTGTGGTTACGACTTGTAACCCCTGTGGTTATTACCATCTCTTGTGGCATCCGGGGGTCATGACCATCTATGGGGACCCCAGGTTCATGGACACCCGATGTGACCCAGGGGTCATAATCTGTGACCTTAGGGTCATGATTACTAACTGACCGGCCTTGAGGAGTTCATGTACTCCAGAGTATTTGATATAGTTGAGTACATAATTGTGGTTGCTGTCTGTTATGCAGCTGAGTACATTACAGTGGCTCTATCATCCTGTCATAAATAATAATAATAATAATAATAATAATAATAATAATAATAATAATAATTATATTAATAATAATAATAATAATAATAATAATAATAATAATAATAATAATAATAATAATAATAATTATAATAATAATAATAATAATAATAATTATTATTATTATTATTATTATTATTATTATTATTATTATTATTATTATTATTATTATTATTATTATTATTATTATAAGTAATAACAATAAAAATGTTTTGAAGTAACACAATTTTATTTCGGTGCATAAGAGAGAAGTAAAGTAAAATGTAGTTGATAGAACTACATTGCTAGAAGAAGGTGGAGACCTCTGTGCTGAGCGCTGGTTGTAAACATTTGGAAATCCCATTATTTATTTAACTGTTGTTGTTGCTGTCGTTCTTGGTATTGTTGATGCTGCTGCTATTGTTGCCGCTGTCGTTGCTGCTATTATTTTTTTTTTCATTGCTACTTCGGCCGCTACTGCTGTCGTTGTTGCTGCTGTAGTTGTTACTGATGCTGCCGCTAGAGTTGTTCCTGCTTCTGTTATTCTTGTTCTTGTCGTCGCCATTGTTTCTTCTTCTGATGGGAATATATACAACGTTTCTCTCAGACGTTGGAGAAAATATTCTCCATTGAGATGTAAGCTAGAGGCGTTTCCGAAACCATAGAAGGCAGTGTTGATTAGAGCAGTGTGTCTCTCTTCCCCTCACCTCCTGCAGGATGTCTGCAGTCCTGCCTTCTAACAACTCTCTCGGTATCCATCGAAGCTGGAACCATTCCCGTCCCGCTTCTCAGATTAATCCAGACTGCCTCCAATTCCTCAGGCGCTGTATGACTCCTACGGGTTTGCATTATTCTTGGGTGTGGAGCTCTATCATGGCGGCCAGGGCGGCCGTGTAGCCGGCATTGTAGTCCAGGGCTATCTCGTTGTGCACGTAGTCTTCTCTGTCGTCAACGAACACGTCGTTCTGCGGGAGGAAGTTGTATTAGTCGTACATGGGAGTGTTTGTGAATGCATGAGAGTGCATGGGAGTGCTTATACTTAACTCAGAGTGCATGAGAGTATACCAGGATGTACAGGAGTACATTTGAGTACATGGGAATACATAAAGATATACATGAGTGCATGTGAGTGCATTGAAGTACGCTATGATGACACTAACAGGTGTTTGCAAGGGGATGATAACCAGACCACAATACATATGATAGAGAAACATGAGTGGTGACACGACCTCATCAGGGCCACCAGCCAGGGCGCCCCACACCGTCTGAGGGTTGGGACCAGACTGTGTCAGTGCCCACTCTGGGTCACACACCTCGGGCAGGTCAGGGCAGGACCTGCAACAAAACTCGTTTTAAGAAGCCAGTAGCTTGACCGATGAATGATGACTGGGCCACTGTTAGCCGTGGGAGTAAACCTCGTGTTGAGGAGCACACAAGTGTCACCACACGATCGTATAATATACAAACCGAAATAATAAGTCTTAGGAAACAAATATTTTAACTTAATTACAAAACAGCGAGAGAGGCTTTATACTGACGCAGCTGCGTGGTGGACTCTCTCAGGGGCGTTCTCTCCGTAGCCGACGACGAAGGAGTGAAGGGTGGAGCCCAGCATGTAGTCGATCTGGCCGGCGCCCCACTCCTGGTTCACCTCGGTATCGATACCAAGCTTTGCTGCCTGACATAGGAAGCAAAAGGTGATCATCCGACACACACACACAAACATAAAAGAGAAAAAATCTGGTAAGATTTAGTTCGTTTAGTGGCGGCATTTTCTTTTTTTAAATGGATTCAGCATAAACAAAGATACAAAGCAAGATGGTCCTTCAAGAAAAAAAAGTCGCTTATGTCTAAGCGTTACAGATTATTGAAGTCTCCTCTGGTATTTTTTTTTTTATCTCAATCGTTGGTCATTTGTCTGTCATTGTCATGGGATGTTTTCCAAAAGGGGTATATATTCAGGAGGTATAATATGTACAGGAGTAATACATCTAAAAGCATAAGTAGTTAATGAATTATGGTGTCCTGTAAAAGTAAATGGTATACATATGTATCAGAGTGCAGGAAATGCAGTGGATCGATCTTTGACTGCAAAAAGTATTGGGAATGATTCCTGTAAAGCAGAAAGTGCATAGTCAATCGTATTTGGTCGAGTCGTACTCCTGATGTATGGCATACGACTCAGGTGTATACAACACATGGAAGATGTATCGGTGTATGGTTGAGTTATACTCCTGCAGTATGGCATACGACTCAGGTGTATACAATACAGGGCAGATCATTACCAGGAGTGCAATGTAGGCGACGCTGGCGGAGTGCCTGTTGGATCCCCAGTACTGAATGTAGACAAGACCACCTGGGGTGTAGGGGAAGTTATTCTGGAAGTGACTGAGACCCTCGACCAGAGTGTCGTGGTACAGCTGGTCATCGTCCAGCATGGTGAACAGTGCCTGCGGGGTACCAAGGCACAGGAGGTGTGAACAAAACTATACAAAGAAAAGTATATGTTTAAATTTAATTTAATAAAATACTGTGTTGGTCACTTTGTGGCAGATTTACAGAAGACTTCGAGAAGTATGTCTTGTCTTAAAAAATCTAGTGGAGTTTACCAGAGCGTAAGAGATAAAGTAGGAAATAGAAGGGACTGCTAAGTTTAATATTTAAAGAAGACATTGGATACCGTAACACACCAGACCAGAGATGTATAATAAGGACACGAGGCAGGTAAACTATGAATTATATAAAACAAAATCAACATTCATAGAAATATATACAGAGGAGAATTAAGTTAAGAGACGTGGAGAAAAGCGTATTTCTGTACGGAAAGAAAAATTCAGTTTGGTAAAAGGTCGCTTGCGCAACTAATGTGACATTTTACTGTGGCAACGATTTGCCCTCATTATTTACATTACACTGTCAAGGACACGCCAAATGTGTATGGAAGAAGCAGGGGATGTCCTGCAGCACCTGGGAAATGTGAGGCAGTCAGGTTTGATCTGAAGAAGGGGGAAAGTAGCTCTAATACCTTGAATCAAGAGCCTTTTACCCCCCTGGAAGGGAACTTAGGACATAACGTTGACAAATTATGTAATAACAACATTATAAGTTCATCAGAAACAACGACACAAAACAGAAAAAAAAATTTTGGAAGTAAAAAAAAAAAAAAAAGAAGAGAGAACAGGAGGATAAATGGGGAAGTAAAAATGTTATAGAAGGTAGAGAGGGAGAGGCTGTCAGAGATGGTTCAAGTGTTATATTATGATCATAGAACTTAAGGCAACTACAAGTGTTACTTTTCTCCTGTAACTACACACACACACACACACACACACACACACACACACACACACACATAACAGG